TGTAAATTGGCTGATTTATCAATGTCAGGCTCATACTGTGCCAGAACAACATACGGGGAACTGCTGCTTTTTCTTTCCCCACCCTTACTATCGCCATTTTCCCCCTCTACCGGTACTTCTTTTGTATGTTTGTCACTCTCTTATGTTTGCTATTTCTGGGGTGCCTTGATAATCGAAGCAGACTTTGTGCTGTTGGGGCTAGAGAGGTGAGCAGAGGAAGTTTTATTCCACGTTTGGATCTCTCTGTTGACATCCACCCCTTGGCGCTCATTTTATGACCTTAAGCAGTTGCGAGCGCCGTATAACCTTACTGAAACAAACAATTCTTACAGTAACGTCCTAGTCCAAGAACACATTTCTAATAATTCATTTAATGTTTACCATCCATGTCTTCTTCTTTCAAAATTTTAGATAGTCATAGTCTACTCATACCAGTCCAGGCGTCTGTCGTGTATTGATTGGACTCTCTTTTCTTTGGTAAATGTGTTACGGCGTTTGCAACTACATAAGTATAAGGTCATGAGAGAGCGCGGCGCGAGGGAAACTAACGATTTTCTGTTTGGTTGGAATTTAGAATTTTGCCTTTGTGGTGACCGAAGCCTACTCTAAATCGATTTTACGACCACCAATGGATCTTTAACGTGCGCAACTTGCACATGAAACCTCTGAGAATTTTCGTCCCCATTCGAGAAGGTTAAGTGTTACCTGCCTTAAAATCAGAGGTGTGTCAGAAAGAGTGGTAAGAAGTAGCCAAGGAGTATCAGTGGGAAAGGCTGAAGAAAGAGACAAGAGCTCAGAGGATGGCGTAAAGGGGAGAGGGGGGGTGGCTTCCAATCCAAGGTTCCAGCCACTGTGGTGTCTAGCAGTTAACTGCTTCACAGTCGCACTCTGAAGATGCAAGTTTGATTTCCATAACGAGGTTTTTTGTTAAGTAGACTATACCCTTTTGTGTGCTGGGACACCATATCGCTCTTAGCCTGGTCAGTCCAGATGCCAGGATCAAAGCAGACCACCTCCTAAAGTCTATAAATTGTGTGGATGGAGCTGTTCTACTTGCACAGTTACGTTGTACAATGGACCAGGAAATGTTGATCACGGCTGTAGAGAAAAGACCAGCCCTTTTTGACAAGACAGACAGGCACTATTACAACAGAAATTATGTAACTGATGAATTGATAAAAAAGTTGCAGAAAAAGTTGGATGTGCTGGTACTGGAAAGTAATTTTGGGCGTCGCCTTTTCAACAGCACAAGAACACCAATTTCACAGCTACGTTCTTTAGATCTGAACAAAAAAAAAGGGTGAGTGAAGGAAGGCGAATCCATTCTGTCGCTTACTGTCCCTTCCCATTCGCCTTCCTTTCCTCACATTCTTTTGAGGGGAGGAAAGGACGATCCACTGTGTTTGTAGGCTACCATAAAACGGGAGTTCGATTCCGGCGTTAGGAAAATATTTTCAGTGGGTGGTTGGCGGGTGTTCTAGTGTGGTGTGCTCCTTCTCTCCTATCAAGCATGTCGTCCTTTTTATCTGAATCTCTCCTCCTTTTTTGTTAGTTACTTTCTTGTAACACTCCTAATCTTCGCACTTATATGACCTTATTGTGTTGCAAGTGCCGTAAAACTCTTACTAAAACGAAAACTAAAATATATTCTCAGTCTGTCTGCTGGATATTGGCTGGTAAAATCCTACAGGGATTTTTTCTTACAATACTGTTTGGTTTGTTTTGTTTTGTTTTTCTCGAAGAAAACAGTGTCATGTCCGATGAACAGTTGTTTTTTTTTTTGTAGGTGTTGGCGGGTGCTCTGGCGTGTTTTTCTCCTTCTTTCCTGTCAAACCGCTGTCGTCCTGATCTCCCCTCCTATTTTGTGTTTGTTACTCTCTTGGAACACCTTTAATCGTCGGCACTTATAAATATTACTAGCTGGGCCCCCTTTCGATGAAAGGGATGATCGGTGCTTTAATATCAGCTAAAAGTCATTGGCCTACTATATTTACACTCTACTGGAATGGGGAAATAAATATTGAGAGATGCAAAAAATGAGGTCTAGATCTATACTCTCAAAACAAAATGCGCCTCGCGAAATATCACTTCCGCATTTTCTAAAATTACAGAGACAGAAGCGTCGGCCTTCAAAAGCGATCGGCGAAATAAAGAAATTTAGCTTTTTGCAGCACAACTGTCTCAAAACTGAAAAAAACCAAGGGCGTCATGACCTGGAAAATATTTTAAAGAATTTTTTGGTGAAAACCGTATGTCGATCGATACAGCCATTAAAAAGCCTTTTGAATAGCTAAATTCGGCCACCACAAATAGATATATAATAGATATAGCCGTATTGTGTTGCAAGTGACGTAAAACACTTACTAAAACTCAACTAAAAACAATTTTTAATAAACAAACTGTCACGTTCACACCACACTGGTCTCACACAACCACGGTAACCCTTTTGCTCGGGAAGAGTTGATACAATAGAACTTTGATATTTTATTACAACAAATGTGATCGCTATTTATAATTAATAAAGACTACAGAGGGGAAAGGGCAGTACGGTATACATGTGGTTAGTCACAGAGAGTAATTAATGATGGATCGTATGAGACATATGGATGGCTATCTCGTTCTTTCCATGCATGGCTGACAGCCACCCCTTTTTATGTAATTGTATGAGTTTTACACACCCATTGAATTGACACTGTGTAGATCACTTAGGACACGGGCT